TGAAGATACCCAGTCGTTCCTTTTTTGTCTACGACTATATTACCATTCAGTGAATGGTTTGCCTCCGAGCTTGGGTTCTTCATCGAGTTTTGACGACCAGTTACGACGACGACGACGACAACAGTCTGCGACGCTGCCGCGCCTGATTTGACTGACCAACTTCATTCTTCTTAGAATATACTTCGCATTGATTCGCCATGGGTGTTCCCAAGTTCTTCCGCTGGCTCAGCGAGCGCTACCCCACGATCTCCATGTTGATCGCGGAGAATCGGATACCTGAATTTGATGCGCTTTATCTCGACATGAACGGTATTATTCATAATTGTACACATAAAGACAGCGATTCCCCCACGTTTCGCATGACGGAGGATAAGATGTTTATTGCGATCTTCAACTATATCGAGCATCTGTACGGCAAGATCAAGCCAAGGAAGTTGTTCTTCATGGCAGTTGATGGTGTCGCTCCTCGCGCGAAGATGAACCAACAGCGTGCGAGACGGTTTAGAACGGCTCTGGATGCTGAGGTCGCTAAGGAGAAGGCCATCGCCCAGGGAATCGAGATGCCCAAAGAGGATCCATTCGACAGCAACTGCATCACTCCCGGTACGGAGTTCATGGCGAAGCTGACGCAACAATTAAAGTATTTCATCAACAAGAAAATCTCCGAGGACAAAGATTGGCAAGGGGTAGAGATTGTGCTTTCGGGCCATGAGGTACCGGGAGAAGGTGAACATAAGATCATGGAGTATATCCGGCATGCGAAAGCACAGCCAGGGTATGACCCCAACATCCGTCACTGTCTCTATGGCCTTGATGCGGACTTGATCATGTTGGGCCTTCTTAGTCATGATCCTCATTTCTGTCTCCTTCGTGAGGAGGTGACATTTGGCCGCCAAGTCCAGAAGAAGCCCAAGGAACTGGAGCACCAAAATTTCTTCCTCCTGCATCTTTGTATGGTTCGAGAATACCTGGAGTTGGAGTTTCAGGAGTTGGAACAGGAAGGGGTTCTTGATTTCCCTTTTGATATGGAACGAGTCATCGACGACTTTATCCTGATGGCTTTCTTCGTTGGCAATGATTTCTTGCCTAATCTTCCTAATCTGCACATCAACGAGGGAGCCCTCTCGCTAATGTTTAAGATTTACAAGGACGTCTTGCCAAAAATGGGTGGCTACGTCAACGAGCAAGGTGTCATCAACCTGAAGCGCCTCGGTATGCTTATTGAAGCTCTGAGTGATGTTGAGTTTCGCTTTTTTGAAGCCGAATACTCGGACGCGAGGTGGATCAACGCCAAACGGAATGGCGCTGAGAACGGTTCTGAGCCTCAAGAGAAGCCAAAAGGCTTGACTCTCACGCCAGCCCAGAAGGAGCTTTTCAAAGAAATCAAAAAGTATGTTTTGAACAGGCCTGGGAAGGCATTAGGTTCAAAACCTCTAGATCTTCCTCCCACACTACCAGCTCGTGATCGCAAGTTTGTGGAGCAACTTGCAGATGACCTGCGACTACCGTGGACCACAGTTGCGGACGAACATGGAGACCGATTCATCAGACTTCAGCTGCCTGCCAACGAGGATGATGACAGCGAAGAGGAGGAAGATGAAGAGGCGTCTATGGCCGTACAGCGCGTCATTCGGAGATACGACAATGCGAAGGTCCAGGAGATTTCTCCCGAGGAAGCTCAGAAAGCAGCAGAGAAGAAGTACGAGGAAAAATTCCAGGATTGGAAAGACAAATATTACATGAGCAAATTCGGATGGGGTCTCGACAATCATGAGGAAATGCGGAAGCTGACGGAAAATTATGTGCAAGGTCTTCAATGGGTTCTGTATTATTATTACAGAGGCATTGCGTCTTGGCCATGGTTCTTCAAGTATCATTATGCGCCTATGATCTCTGGTAAGTGCTGGCTACTCATCTATCAATAATAACTCCGTTCCTTTCAGTCCTTAACCACGATTTTTCGACCATCTCATTCGTTTGCTGACCATGACTAGATGTGATCAAGGGTCTGAACGCGGACATGGATTTCAAACTGGGTCAACCGTTCAAGCCTTATGAGCAGCTCATGGGTGTCTTACCTGACCGAAGCAAGCAAATTGTGCCTGCAGCGTTTCGGGACTTAATGACGTCCCCCGAATCTCCCATTATCGACTTCTATCCACGTGATTTTGAATTGGATATGAACGGCAAGAAGATGGAATGGGAGGCTGTTGTCAAGATTCCATTCATTGATGAGCGTCGCCTCTTGGAAGCTCTTGCCACCAGAGAGCACTTCTTGACCCCGGAAGAAAAAGCGCGAAATGGTTTTGGGGTCAGTCTCAAGTTTACTTACTCACCGGAAGTGAACTTCGTCTACCCCTCGTCTCTCCCTGGTGTCTTCCCTGATATCCCCAGCTGCCATTGCATCGAGAACATTTTTGATCTGCCTACCATGGATGGCTTGGAACCTTATGTTGGCTTGGTCGACGGTGTCCAGCTTGGAGCGGCTGCATTGGCTGGTTTCCCAAGTTTGAAGACTCTACCCCATTTTGGCCAGCTTGGTTTCCACGGCGTGTGCGTTTTCCAACAGGAAAGCCGCAACGAGAGTATGGTTATCACGGTACTCGACCCAGGGAGCAGATCGAGTATTGAGCTGGCTAAGCAGAAGCTTGGGAAGCGTGTCTTTGTCGGCTACCCCTTTCTGCAGGAAGCTCTTGTCGTCCGCGTATCTGATGAACTGTTTGATTATCTGCTTCCGGAAGGAGAGAACCACGTGGTTCCGATTCCTCACACTGAGGCCCAAATTGACCAGTGGAAGAAAAAGGCGGATAAGATTGAAGGGATGTACAGCCGCAGACTCGGCACGATTATTGGCCCCGTGGAGTCGATGGTGCACGTTCAACTCCTGAAGGGTCTGATCAAAACAGACGAGGGTGCGACAATCAAGGAATTCGCCGATATTCCGGGACAGGAAACCGACTACGCGCTTCAGCTTGTCGTAGACGAAGTTATCAATCCTGATGAGCGCTTCATCGAACGTGATGCCCTGCCCATTGAGAAGGAATTTCCCGAAGGCTCGCGTGCCTTTTTCTTGGGCGACTACAATTATGGTAGACCGGTGCACATTACAGGGCACGAAGACGGCAAGGTTAATGGGTTGATTGCTTCAATCAAGGGCCGCGAGCCAGAATTTGGAAAAGATCGCGCTAGAGAAGCGGAGAGGCTGTGTCCCTATATGCCCTCATTTGCCATTGCTCGCAGCCTACGTTTGAATCCATTGGTATTGGCAAAGATCACCTCGTCGTTCTCTGTTGACATGGAGGGACAGCGCGTCAATCTGGGTCTGAATCTCAAGTTCGAAGCGAGGAAACAGAAAGTTCTTGGCTACTCCCGTCGCGGGGAGTCTGGCTGGGAATTCAGTCCGAAGGCAGTCGAACTTCTCCAGCAATATATGATTAAATTCCCAGAATTTATTGCTGGTATCCAACGTAACCCTCAGAAGGACCGTTACCAGCCGACAGATTTCTACCCCGAGGATGTTGCACTTGTGAAGATGAAGGAAATCAGAGATTGGCTCAAAGCGATGGAAGCCAAAAATTTTGAGAGGGTTCCTCTTGAGGCTGAGCAGTTGGATTCTGAAGTTGTGAAGTTGATTGAACAGGATGCGGATCGACTTGTGCAGAGTCAACCTCCAATGCAGCCTAAGAAGATCAGAGGTGTCCCCAGAAGCGCGCTTCTGCGGCCTTCGGACGTCGAGCAGCGTTTGCAGAACCAAACTTTCAAGCTTGGAGATCGTGTAGTCTATGCGCAAGATTCCGGCAAGGTGCCCATTGCCACTCGAGGAACAGTTGTCGGCCTCACTCGGACGTCCCGAGCGATGTTACTTGACGTTGTCTTTGATGTTTCGTTCATGAGCGGCACCACTCTGGGAGACCGCTGCTCGCCATTCCGCGGTCAAACAGTCTTGGCATCATCCGTTCTCAACGTTTCCTATCGTCAATTACTCGCCAGCACACGGGCTGCCGCCAGCCAACAGACACAGAGCCAGCCTTCGCCTTTGACTGTGGCAGGATACGGTGCTCCGCTTGGTCCTAATGGGCAGGGCCAGCTGAAGGAGGCTCCGGCTCCTCCTCCATTGACGAACTCATACCGTGGAGCTGTCTCAGGCTTGGGTAATACACGAGGAAACGGTGCTCCTCATAGAGGACGTGGAGGTCGCGGTGCCGCAAATGGAGGATCGCCGCAGACTACTTTACCGTTCCGGCCCCACCCCAGCAGCGGTGACGGCAGTGAACAACGCGGCGGCAGGGGTCGTGGAGGCATGTACCGTACTCGTGGGGGGTATGTATCCGTGGATAACAGCAACCCGGAGGCAGGCGTGATCAAAAACAACCCTCACTTCCGGCCTCAGAATTACTCCCAGGTGCCGCCTCCCAAAGCATTGAATCGTGGCAATGGACGTGGGGCCCGCGGCGGTTTCCGCGGGTCGGACAGAGGAAGCGGGTCCAGAGGAAGGGGTAGTCACCGAGGAAGAGGTGCAGCTATTATAAACACTGAATAAACGAGGTGTTATGGTGCTCCAGTTGGACTTCTAACAGGGTATCATACTCTCGGTTACGGCATGGTTGGGTGTTGACGGTAACTTGTCTGTCAATTGACTAGCTTGTGGCATAAGACATAGAAGGCCATAGATAATTTACTATGGAGAGCCCTCCTCTGTATCATTAGTCAAACATCCAGCGAACCAACATTCTTCCCTTCCGTAGTTAAATCTGAGAGTTTATCCTGTGTTAAGCATTCTCCCCCACGGAAATCCGCGCTCTGGATGTGGAGAAATATCCGCACTCTTAGTTGGGACGATCGATCACCGGATTTGGAGTATCTTTGGGGAAGCTCTTAGATGCGGGGATGATATACAAGATGGCGCATCGCGTTTATTATTGCAAGGAGTCTTCTTCCTTCAGCTGAGCTGTCTATTTTCTATAATCATCAGTGTCGCATTCCTTGAAAAGCATACAGACATGGCATCTGTAACCACTGGTCTCCCCACTTTCGACAACCTCACCATCGACCCTTCAGGGCCTCCAGGGAACGCATGGGGTCTATTTGGCAAGAACAACGAGCTTGGGATGCTGAACCTGCTCACTCCCGAAACAGTGCGCAGGGCAGCAGCAGAGGAGGTCCGAGACGGCGTACGATTCTCGCTTGATCTGTCACTCGATCGAATCAAGAATCCGAGTTTCGGGCGCAAGCCGTTTGTGAGGGAGTTAGTGAACAAGGCGCCACGGATTGTGAATGATGATATCCTTGTCTTCAACACGCAGTGTAGTACGCAGTGGGATGGCTTTAGGCATTATGGTAAGATTGTGCCCTGACCACCGATACGCTGATGTGAGGAAGAGGAGTAGGTTGACGGGCGCACTGCGCGATAGGGAACCATACCCATAAGTGCTACTTTAACGGGCATTCACTGGAGGAGTTGAAAATCTCCCCTGTGATCGGGATTGACGGTAAGTCTGCCTTACACAATCTGACAAACGTCAAACTCACAGCTCTAGCATGGGTCAAGCACGGCGGGATCGTGGGCAGAGGCGTGCTAATCGACTACGCCTCGTGGGCAACGAAGAACTCCATCCCCCTCAGCCCCTTCACCACAACCAGAATCCCCCTCTCGGCAATCAAGCAGATCATCGAAGAGAACGACATCCGATTCCGCCCCGGAGATATCCTCTTCCTCCGCACAGGCTTCACAGCCGCCTACGACAAGCTCTCCCCGGACGAAGAGCTGGCCATTGCTGAGCGCGAAACGCCTCAATTTGCTGGTCTCGAGGCTGGAGAGGCTACTCTCCGCTGGCTGTGGGAGAATCAGTTCGCTGCCGTAGCGAGTGACTCACCTAGTTTCGAGCCTTCGCCCATCGCGGGCCCTCAAGGCCCGCMGGAGTTTCAGCTACACCAGTGGTTACTTGCTGGCTGGGGGATGCCTATTGGGGAGTATTTTGATCTCGAGGGAGTGGCGGAGTATTGTGCAAAGACGAGTCGGTGGAGTTTCTTTCTGTCGAGTGTGCCGTTGAAGGTGAGTTAGGTTGTTGTTAAGCTGTGCTTTTAGAATCGTGGGTGAGCGGATTGTACTGACGAGATCGTCGTATACCAACAGGTTCCTGGGGGCGTAGCGAGTCCTCCCAATGCGGTGGCTATCTTTTAGTCATTTTATGTGTATATTTTCATATAGGGATATCATATACTGGGTCGGATTGTCGAGATAATCAAATGCTTCATTTGTATTTTCTTTGCCTGCACTAGGGAACATGGAAAATAAACAAAATAATGGAGATGCCAGTGCTCATAGGTGCCCAATAAATGAGTGGAGATTCAAAAAATAAAAGATCAAAAGCAATATCCAGTCTGACCATCTATCCTTCGTCGAAAACTCCTTCAGCAAACCATACGTTCAAAGGAAACCTCAAAACCTCTGCCATCTTTCCAGTCTCTCCTACTAAACGATGTCTCTCTTCTTCAAAAGAATCTTTGTGTGCATGTTAGGCATAATCTGCTCCCCAAGAGTGAGGTTCCTCGGTCTTTTGTTGTTGTCGTCCTCGAATTTGAACTCGTAATCTGTAATCAAGCGACTCAAGATCGCCTTGTTCGTGTTCGCAGCAAAGAAACGGCCAGGGCAGGCTTGTCTACCGTAGCCGAAATGCATGTTTGACGGGCTGATGCTAACAAGGCTCGTGCTTCTTGCTTCGGGGTCTTCGCACCAACGGAATCCCTTGAAGGTACAAGCATCCTCAACAATAGAATCATCCATTCCCATAGGCTTTGAAGGGAAGCAGATATGCGTGCCTTTCTCGAGAACCAAGCCATCAGAAAGAACCATCTTCTCCATAACCATACGGTGAGTAGACACTGACAGGGGCAGACAGTTAGCATAACGAGCATAATATTGCAAATCAACAGGGATGCACTTACGTTCTCCAGTGGGGTTAAAACGCTGTGATTCTCTCATAAAGCTGTCCAGGCGACGCTGAGAGGCGAAGGAAGCCTGAGTCACCTTGTCCCATCCGTCTTTCAGAGTCTCGCAGATTTCCTCCCTCAGAGGCTCAATGTACTCGGGCCGAATCATGAGATCGTAGATAGCATGGGTCATCAGCATAGAGCTCGTATGGACAACCGCCAAAGCCATCACAATAAGCAACATCTGGGAGATATTCGCGGGATCCTTGTCGAAGTCGTCCTCTGCAAGGTCCATCATCCACTGGAGAAAATCATCCGGCTTCTTGTATGCAGGATCATTCATCTCTGCGTTACGACGGGCCAAGATCATCGGGATGAAAAGCTCTTGCTGAACAAAGCGTAGCTGAGTGCGGAGCTTCTTGACACTCGGGAGCACCTTGGCAACCAATGGACGCATGAAGTTGGGGAATGGACGTAGCAAAATAACAGTCACACCAAGATTGACCGTGTAGCTGGTGACGGTTTTCAGCCACTGTGGGTTACGGCAGATGTTCTCTCCAACGATGACGCGAGAAGTAGCCCGAGTAACAAGGCCCAGGATCATGTCGTAGACGTTGACCGGAACCCAGCGATCTATGGCCGTTGTCAGTCTGGAGTGTACCCGGATCATGAGGATTGACTTGGACATACCATCACAGTCAGGCACTTCAACCCGGAATGCGAACTGAAGTTCATCGAGGAGACGAGGAAGAACTCGACCTTGAGTTTGACTTTTGTCAGCCTTAGACACTCAAGCAAATGTACACAAAGCATGCACTTACCGATAGCTGGAGTCAGACCCTTGTGAACCGTCTTCACAGGTAAATGGCTATCAATAAGAACATTCGTGTATTTGCCGAGGATGTTCTATTGCGAGGCGTAAGTTCATTCTTACCTCATAAAGTCAGGAAGCTGGCAACATACCTCGAATTGCGCATCGACGCCGCTGAGCTTGGATGGAGGCAAGTGACGAATCTCCGGAAGGTACTTTGGAGGCAAAACAAGCAAGTCGCCATCTGCCTTGAGGACACGGTAGGGCTGATCTCTGTACTGTAAGTCCGTCAACTTGAGGATGACAGATGTGAGCGGAAAGAGAGGTAAGTACCTTCTCATAACCGTACTGGATCAGGTAAGGCGCCACGAAAATGAACATGAGCCGGTTAATGAAGTCCGGAAGGAAGCGACAGAATCTGACTGTCGGGATTTCGGCTAAGGCCTCGCCTGGTGGGTAATGATAGAAATAGAGAGACGAGGAGAGTAGTAGGGCAAGTGGCCAACATGGCAGTTCGAGCGTCTGGTCAGCCATGACTGACAACTTGACAATCTGATGATGCGAAGCTGTGCTAATGATGTTTCATACAGCGATCGATTGATATGATGAAGCGCTACGGGAGTATATGAGCAGAGTAGTAGCGTAGGGTGAAGGAGGTAAGAAGAGGGAAGCTCGCGAGATGCATCGATAGGAAGAGAGCATTTCTATCTGTGCAGCAAGTGAGACAGGTGAATGAGCAGACGATCAGCCACGGAGAGAGCCGCTAATGAAAGGAATTAGAACGCTGGTATCTCCAGATGCAGTGAATGTTGTGCGGATACAGTTACCAGACGGCATATTCCATTATGTGAAGACCCTAACGGGGATATCCGCCTAACAGTGAGCATAAGTGAGAGTCGGCTCATCAGCCTTCCGCTATAATGCCATTGAATGAGAACGTTGTGGAAGACAAATGCCCGAGGACGAGCTTGCTAGATCATCAATAGTCTATTTGAACGGATATGCTATTGGCACATGCTACCCAAGGAACAACAGGCTATAGGAAAGACTCCCAGGACTTTTACTTGCTCCCTTTTCCAGGTATATCAAAACAATCGAACGCCAGACGCAGATGCAAGAAGAGAAGATGAGGAATGCGAGAGGAAGGGCAAATGAGGTGTATATAGGTACAAGGCGAAGTGAGTGAGATCATTCGAGGCCAACCCATTCCCCCTCCCTGTCATCACCATCTGCATCAGACATGCGCTCATCCTCGCCGCCCATGATTACAGCATCGTAATCTTGAATAGCTTTCGGGGCGCCATTCGTTTTGTCTGCAAGTACCGGTTTCGAGAGGAGATAATTGAGATCGTACAGATTCTTCTCCGTCAACTTCCTCAAATTCTCCCGAATGTCATCAACAGCACGCTGTATGGCACGCAGTTCTGTTGCGAGCGTGCCCGCATTATCCTTGAAGTAGCGACCATGGATACTCATGAGAGATTCAATCCACCGCAAGTTGAACTCCAGGTGTGGCGTTTCTTCAGCAGCTTGGGCTACGAATCGCAGGAAGCGAGAAAGGTAGACAGTGGGCAGTGCTCGTACCACAAGAGAGATCTCTGAGGGTGGAATAGCCTCATAGACAGCGCGAATGAGCTTCGACTCGTTAAGACGGAAAGCCATGACCAACGCTTTCAAGAACGTATTGTCATCGTCTGCTGTGTTCGTCGAGTGCGCGTTCTTGGCAGCGTCAAGGGTGGCAAGGATAGTGGTGGGAGTGATATCGATATCGAGGTCAAATGGATCGAAGACAAATTCGGTGTCGAGACTGTAAACGAGAAGACCTTCCGTCGAAGCTGCACAGAATGCGCGCCCGGTCGGGGAGAAGTCGACTGCAGTGACACGCACCTCCGGCCGAGTCTTACGTGTCCCAGCATCGCCGCGCTTCGCGCCGGGAAGGCTGCGGTCAATGCGATCCTCCAGATCCGAGGCTTCGCCTGTCTCGTCAATGAGACCTCGAGGGCCAGCCTCTGTCAAATCACGACTGTTCAAGATTTCCTGGGTGCCGTCTAGAGAGGTGTTGACACTGACTGTGTATTTCTTGAGCAGTGCGCCCGATCTCACATCGTACAGGCAAATGTGCTTGCTGTTGCCCCCAGCCAGGACACAAGAGCCATCAGGGCTGTATGTGATGCAATTGAAATGTTTGGTTGCAGCCGAGTTCGCGGCAGTCACACGATCGCCCATCTTGCGGCCGCCGGACACATCGCGGCGACCATCAATGCCTCCTTCCTGGACTGCGTTGTCCACAGACCAGAAGGTCAACTGACCGTCCAGAGTAGATGCGGCAACCTGCTTCCCGTCAGGCCGGAATGCCACATCCAGAATATCTGACATGAGCTGCAAAGGTTCGCTAGTCTGCGTCCTTCCGAAAATGCTCCATACTCGGACCGTACGGTCCCAGCTACCGCTAACTAGATGGTTGCCGTCCGCGGCAAACGCGAGAGACGATACGGGCCCTTCGTGACCGGACAATTGGTCAAGAAGTTGCCCTGTCTGCACCGACCACACGTGGATATCGAAAGAATCCGGTGACCCGGCGCAAATGACCTCACCACTTKGGTCGACGGCGAGAGAGGTGAAAGACGTCCGGGATGGTGCAGTGAAGGTTCGGAAGTTGCGATAACGAATGAGATCCCACGCCCTCACTGAGCCATCCAGAGACGCGGTAAACAGAACACTCCCTTTCTTGGCAAACTGGCACGCAGTGACTCCACTCGAATGCTCAGTGAATGTGACAATGCAAAAGCCGGACTTGACATCCCAGACCTTTACTTTTCCATCATCCGCGGCAGTAACAATCTTTTGCCCGTCTGGGGAGTAGGCAAGAGCATTCATCGAATCCAAGTGACCCTGCTGCTTCAAGATATAGGACTCCGATTGCCATTCCCAAACGAGCAATTGACCATGTTTCGACGAGCCAAAGGCCAACCACTCACCGGACTTATTGACTGTCACGAAGTCGATGTTACTCTGAGAAACACTAAAACTAGTCAGCCTAGCAGTCCATTCATCAGGTAAGAAAAGGCATACCTCAGTTGATGGATCGGGTTGAAGTCTGGCAGGTCGTACAGGCCGAAAAGGCCGTTGGAGAAACCTACAACCAAGAGATTCGAAGGGGCGTGAAATGTAGCGCAGTTGACCTTGGCATCGTTCTGCATGAAGTAGTCCTTTTTGACAATCCGCCAACGAGCTTCGGCAATATCTTCCATCGTATCCGGATCTTTCTTAGTCACGTACTCCCACCTGAAAAGAGCTCCATCTGAACTGATTGTGTAGATCTTGGATGGTGTCAGCAAGGGAATCCCGTAGATATTTCGGTTCGACTTACGGATTCTTGATCCGCTGTAAAATAGGCTGCCTTCACGCCTTGACGATGGCCGGCCAGGGTGGTGGGTTCGAAGCCTTCCTCCGGATCTAAACTCCATATCCGTGCGGTGAGGTCTTTGGATGCGGTAAGGAGGAAGCGCGAATCTCTGGACCACTCAATATTCTCAATGACATCGAAATGGGCGGCGAGGTCTCGGTGCAGGACAAATGGTGCGAATTCGATCTCTCCGTTATTATCGGTACCCGGGGTCGAAGGTGTGTGCCAGATCTGCAACCGTCTTCCCACTCCGACAGCGAAATGACGACCTGTTGCCGAGAATTTGAGTGCAGTGACCCGACCTTTAAAGGAGAAGTGGTGAATAACGATCCTGCGAACGAAATTCGTCAAGATAGCGCGACCATTCTCGTCAACGGAGAGCAGAAGGTTGCCGCGGGGCGAAAGATCTAAACGATCGATATTGGTGCGATGCGAGAATGGAAGTGTGTATGACGTGTTCCTTCAGCAGGGTCATCCAGTCAGCTCAGAAATCCGACGAGTATTCCACAGCATGTAAGAGACCGAACATACTGGACAAGGTCAAAAACTGTGACCCTATTGCCTACTGGGGAAAGCAAGCAGTTTCCATCGGGTGTGAAGAGAAGATTTCCTTTGCGATATACCGTCCCCAGAAGGTTGGAGAACTGCGACTGAGTCAGAATTGCGGTCGCAAGGAGGGCAAGAAACAAACTCACCTTGAAATCTGTCTTCATTGTCTCTGATAAGCGTGCGTAGCTTCTCAGTCTTCGCCTGGAGTCGATCTTCAAAAAAATCGTCTTCCTAAACAGGCGATAAGAGAGCTGATCATTTGTTAATCCGAGACCGAGGGCGCTTGCTCTATTAGTACTAGCGCTATCCGGGGCCCAATGTCACGTCTGCGTGTTTGCTTGTTTGCTTGTGTTTGCTTCTCCACCGGTCTGCGATTCAGGGGCAGCACCAGCCAATTCCAAACCATACCAGACCGATCCATACCAGGGAGAACGTTCTACTACTACCGCTGAGACAGGAGAGAGAGACACAGTCCCTTTCCGACGGCATTTTCCCTCATTCTTTAGGTCATTGTAATCAATTGACTTCTGATTCACAACAGTTGTTGTCAACTTCAATTAATCAGTTGTCTTCTTGCCCGTGTTGATTTCACCTCCATCCACCTACCCCCTTTATCATCATGGCCACGACTTCGGAAACTGCCTCCCCTATTGGCATTGCCAATGTAAGTGCTAAATCAACATCTTGGGGATGTATTTGAATGGAAAAAGAGATGTTAACTAGTTCTTTATGTCAACAGCTCCCTAACCAGCGGTGTGTACCAACTGTCACGCAGCTCCGATCAGCCGAAGAATGAAGCGTGGATAGGTCTAACTGAAGCTATACAGACACAAGATTGTCGCTAAGCGGGGTGCGGCTTTCACTATCATGGTCTGTCTCGAGCCAGCCAGCCAAGATGAAGCTGTATGCTGATGCCGGAGTATAGGTTGCTGGAGAATCGGGATTGGGAAAGACCACGTTTATCAACACCCTGTTCTCGACCACTATCAAGAACTATGCCGATCACAAGCGTCGCCATCAGAAGCAGATCGACCGGACGGTTGAGATTGAGATTACCAAGGCAGAGCTAGAGGAGAAGTTCTTCAAAGGTTAATTTCTTCTTCCCTCATCCTCGCGAATGGTTACTAATGTAACGATGCGGCAATGCACAGTCCGTCTGACCGTCATTGATACTCCCGGCTTCGGCGACTATGTGAACAACCGTGACTCCTGGCAACCAATTATCGAGTTCCTTGATGACCAGCACGAATCGTACATGCTTCAGGAGCAACAACCCCGCCGCACAGACAAGATCGATATGCGTGTTCACGCCTGCTTGTACTTCATCAGACCCACGGGCCACACTTTGAAGCCTCTCGATATCGAGGTCATGAAGCGGTTGAGCTCTCGAGTCAATCTTATTCCCGTTATTGCCAAGGCCGACACTCTTAGTCCTAGTGATCTTGCCCGTTTCAAGCAGAGAGTGAGACTTCCGGATGAATGGCCTCCCTTACCGGTAGATACTGACTAGCCCAACCTATTTTAGGTCAAAGCTGTCGTCGAAGCTCAAGGCATCAAGATCTACACCCCTCCTATCGAAGAGGACGACGAGCACGCTGCCGCCCACGCTCGCAGTCTGATGGCTGCTATGCCCTTCGCTGTGATTGGATCCGAGAAAGATGTGAAGACCAACGACAACCGGGTAGTAAAGGGTCGCCAATATGCTTGGGGTGTTGCCGAAGTCGAGAACGAGGACCACTGTGACTTCAAGAAGCTGCGCTCTATCCTGATCCGCACTCACATGCTTGATCTCATCCATACCACCGAGGAGCAGCACTACGAAGCCTACCGCGCACAGCAGATGGAAACAAGAAAGTTCGGCGAGGCCAGACCGAGAAAGCTGGACAATCCCAAGTTCAAGGAAGAGGAGGAGGCTCTGAGGAAGCGTTTCACCGAGCAGGTCAAGGTCGAAGAGCAGCGATTCCGCCAGTGGGAGCAGAAGCTCATTTCCGAGAGAGACCGCCTCAACAAGGATCTGGAGGCCACCCACGCTGCGTATGTGCACCTCTTCTTGCAATTCTTGATCTATGGAGACAGTACTGATTGGATGCAGAATCAAATCGCTCGAGCAAGAAATCGAGGCGCTGCAGGGCTCAACCACCCGGAGTCACGGACGCCGTTAAATTGCTCTCGGGCACCTTGGGTACGGCGACGAATTTTGAGCACGCGGTGGAAAAGGGAAAACTGCTTCGATTTGATTAATATTGTCTATTCTTGATTACCCCTCGAGTTTCCTTGTCGGCCTATTTTTTTTCTCAGCATTCGGGGGACAAACATATTTGATCTAGGCCGTTTGATGCGCTATCTTCTACTGCGCATTTATTATGCTGTATCATTTCTTTAGCCGCTGGTAGCTAGCGATGATCTCGTTACATCCTTGATAATAACCCATTTGTATTCAGTAGCGTGTCAATACAGAATTAATCTTTGTCCATGATTCGGTCATACCCTAGAGCGACTGGGTAGGAAGCTTTATCTGGTGGGGCTTTCTTCAAGCATGAGCGGGTCAGTTTCGAGGGTGACATAGCTCTCTTTGGCGGAAATAACAAAGCCTCATCTCCGCAGTTACTTTCAAGGCGAGAACTTCATCACCTAGGATCTACCTCCTTGTCATTCATCCTGACCTTATGCTGAAAAATCTAAGCCATCAATGCCGGCAACAAAACAATTTCCCACGCAGCTTGTTCATACTCTCAAAACGCACAATGGTAGGCTTCTGCTCCATCCCCTAGCCACGCTCCTCAATCAACTAATCGGTTTCAGGACCGGTAAATGCGGTGACTTTCTCTAGCTATCCAGGTACATATGTCCTCACTGGTTCCGCTGATCGCGCCATTCACCTCTCGCGCGCCATCCCCAACAACAGCTCTACTACTGGTCACGAGACGACCTCCCCAATCCAAAAATACGAGGCGCACGGGTACTCAGTCCTGGACGTGGCTGTTACAGCAGACAATGCGCGGTTTGCAAGCGTCGGCGGAGACCGGCAGGTATTTCTGTGGGACGTCGAACAAGGTGTGACTACACGGCGATGGGCCGGACATAATGCCAGGGTCGAGGCCGTACAGTTCGCTGGCGAGGGTGATTCCGTGGTGGTATCTGGTGAGAATCCTTGTCCGGCCTTTCCTGTCTAGTGCTAAAGTAGAATCATCCGCGATTCTGACCTTTCTCTTAGGAAGCGCAGACACGACCATTAACCTGTGGGACGCCCGGTCCAAATCACACAAGCCTATCCAGGCCCTCACCGAGGCCGGCGATACCGTTTCCTCGCTACACGTACATATGCCGACGTATTCTATAGCAAGTGGAAGCTACGATGGCCGCGCTCGCATTTACGATGTTCGCATGGGCCGGACAACCGTTGACGTCCTTGCTCACCCCGTTACGAGCGTGCGGTGCTCTGCGGACGGCAATGCCCTGCTGGTTTCTTCACTCGACAGCCGGATCCGGATGCTGGACCGGGCAGACGGCAAACTGCTCAAGGCTTTTGGGGGCGAGGAGGGTCTCGAGCAAAGCACTACCGGTGCGAGGGCGACGTACCGCAATAGCGAACTTAGGATTCGGTCTGTCTTTGCCAGGGGCGACGCCGTCGTCCTCAGTGGCAGTGAGTCGGAGAAAGGAGATTTGTCGCTACAGGCTCATGTATTTGCGTGGGATGTGCTCAGTGGAGAGGTTATTGCGGCTGTCCCGGCGGGTGATGGAGTGAAGGTTGTTAGCTGTGTAGCATGGAACGAGAAAGGAGGCTGCTGGGCTGGGGGCTGCTCCGATGGTATGTCAGAGCATGTCAACCTTTGTGCTTGTATGTATAGTTTGCTAATAACGGTTCTTTGCAGGCACCGTCAAAATCTACGGCTGAACAACAAGAGGATCCTGATCGTTGCGGCCAACCAGGAAGCTCCTTGTAACGTCGACAGCAGCTTGGCCAGTTCGTGCCTCCCGACGAGAACAACACGGGGTTGCATTCCCTTCCTCGCCTGTATCCCAAGCGGAAAAGACTTTAATGGCCTGCAATCCGAATTCACACAACTTCGCCGAAGCCATTCTCCAAGAGCACCAGCTTCAGACGCTGGCCGGACACCAACCAGATCAACGAGGCCAGCTGCAAGGTCAAACGGGCTGTCCATCCCCGCGCACAGAAACGCCTAGAACTTCATGCAATACAAACCCCTTCCGGAACATGCAGACAGAAAAATCGTAGTCTGCAACCTCGTTCGCGCACGCAATCAGCCCTCCACTCAACGTCCACATTGCAAACAGAGCTACATGGTCCTGTCAACCTGGCCAGCTGCTATTCGACCACTGATCCGCTGGCACGTCCTCGCTGCATAGTGCATACTGCATTCTGCATCGGCCTGCTTCTCGTCTTCTGTCGCAGGGAGAATTTCTCTTCGGATCAAGGCTATTGATCCACGACTTTGGTCCGGTAGGTCTCGACCACGGGCCGTGCTGCATACTTCGCAAATGAGCCAACAATAGGGCTGCATGGTGACGTGTCAGTCCCAGACGCCCGTCGAGTTTCAAGTTGCGGACCTTTTGTTTGTCTACCCGGTAGACGAGATAGCTACTGCGAGATTCCAAACTGGACTTGGCGTGAAATATGGTGAGACGTATAACGCTGCACCTCATGGCGATTATTTGTTGAAGCTAAGCCATCTGGCACCATATATACGTTTCGAATTGAAGTGGCTCTTGCAATATCTGATGTACTACTCGCCTATTGGATGGCATTTATTCCATTTCACTTTGCATTATGGATTAGTAGAGCCTGTACCTTACTCGAACAGGGAAAGAAAGAAAATAGACTTCATCCATCTGTACATCCTTCATACAATGTCATCGTCCCAACCTGAGGGTATTTCCTGAGTAGAGTTTTTTGGGAGTTCGATATTATACAGTAACCATGTATTCTCGTTCAAAACAAGATCCAACCCAAGATGCACTGTGACCCCATCCGACCAGGGTAACGTGATTTTAACAAACTTTGATAAACACCAAAAATCTTTTTCAGCCAACAGTTCCGAAACGCCGATTTGCTGTTTTGCAGTTGATCAGATTAGAGGCCAACGGGTAGAGGATATCCTCTTTTTGAGTCATGTAGCTGTCGTAAGTTCTTATTTGAGGTTTCGCCGAAGGATTATCTTCTTCGAACACCGTAGGCCACAAGAATGAGTGAAGACGGCGATGTGGATTTGAACTAAGCAAAGGTCACACTTCGAGCACACCAGCCGGCAGTTCCGGTTCATGGCTTTCGGCATCGAGCGCATCCATAGCTCGATGTAGTTCGTGTTCACCGACAAGGATTGTCCCTGCACGTGCAGTGCTCAGGAAGCTGATCTCGACGGCCTCCAGAGACGTGTCGAGGTCTGGCTGCAGATGATGGGTTGAGAGTGCCAGCGGATCGCCATTGCCATTGATAGGTGCTCGGTGCGCAGGACTCTGAGTAGGCGGTCTGACAGGTCCTCCAGAGTCCACACTGGACGAGAAGTAGCGGTTGAGAGAACTTTCAAAGGACGAAGCACCATTGAAAGAGTGAGACAAAGCGATAGTCGATGCTTCGGTACTTTCATCCCAGGAAGCATGTGTAGCGTCGGCCAATCGACTGGCAACCCCACAGACAATACCGGTGGCCTCGAGAGGGAGTTTGCGTAGGTCCAACGTGATGGGGACGAGGATGTCTTCTTTGGACCCGAGAAGCAGGCTTGTCTCATCAGTAGACTCGGCAGATGAGGTAACATCATTMAAGAATCGTGGCAGGAGCCGCTGTTCCAACAAGAGAGAGGCTGCAGGGTCGGCGGCGGTCAGAGTGAGTGAGAGGAAGCGTGGTCTGTCCACAATCAGTGCAGTCGTCAGTGCCGTGCGGAGGATTGATATTGAGCTAGCATCACTGCTGTATGGGTGATGGGCAGCACATTGCACCAAGCGAAGAGATCGGTCGACGGACGGCACAATGTGGTTCTTCCGCAGGGAGGCGAAGGTTCGCCCCTGCAGTTCGTCAAGTGACGAGGGAGGAGGAGTTGCCGGCGGAGAACCCAGACTACTGTTGGAACGAGATGAAACCGGGCTGCTATAGCTGCTGAACTGACTTTGATTATGATTTATGAAAGCCTCGGTGGTGATTTCGAACTGGAACCCCCGCTTCTCCAACGCTTCAATGACATGTGCTTTACTGCGCAGAGGCACAATGATGTAGTCGGAAAAGTAAGTGGAGACGAAGAAGATAGAACTGGGAAGGCAAAGTCAGCAATGGTCATATAAACGAGACTCTCTTCGGGGAGGTTCGTACATTCCTGCCATCGCTAGAGGACTCGTCAATTCAAGCACACGTTGGCCAGCTTCCAGGCCCTCGCCGTACACCTGCATGGCTATGAAATCATCCTGACTGATGGACAGGCGGCTTTGGGTAGAGGCATGATCTTGAACGAAATTATCGATCATTGGAGCGAAATACTTGTTGGCAAGCTGCCTGGGGCACATGATGGAGCATTCTACCGGGGTGATGGAGAAATTCAAGAAGGCCGGTTGTGCATGCTTGAGGCCATCTCTGGAGCCGTTCTTCAAGACCTCCGCATGACTCTGGTCTACGGGGGGTACCTCGTGGAAGAGGACCTGTAGGATCGGAGTCAAGAAATACGGGTAGAGATCCAACGGTATATGCACCAAGGCCAGTCGGTCATCCTGTCTCTCGATGATTATGGTTAGCAAAACAAGCCTTGCACTAGACTGGTCTATACAAGTCATAATTCTTGACGGGAAGATGGATAGCGTGATTGATGAACAGCAAGATGGAGGCTTACCATAAACTGGACTTGAGCCGAAGTGAGAGACAATGAATGATCCATCATTGCCCTCGATCAGGTACAAATGATACCTATAGGCGGTTTCGAGGGAATCAATGCTCTGTCTTGGGAAGGCAAGATCCCAAAGGAGAAGTGAGGTACTCGTAATGGGAGACTTCGGGGTGATGTGAAAGTATAAGTAGCGGAGTCGGACTCGCAGGTACAATCGGGAGAAGATCCACAGAGAGAAGGCAGTAGGTATCGAAAGGCCAGATTGAAGTTGTACAGATGAGGCTGTCTCGGTGGACAGTACAGGTGAAGTTAGGGTAATAGGCAACAATGTCACTGAGACGCGAATGATAATGAGAGAAATAAGTATAAATAGAGAGCCGAGTAAAACTCAGATTCCATGAAACAAAGCGCGGCAGACATCAATGGAGTAGTCGTTTCTTTTTCCTCCTGTATGTCCTTGATGGCCCGAAGCCCTGCGTCTTCATTGTTCTTGTCTGCGGAGTGGAGTTACGCCATTGTTCGGAGAAATGATAGTATCGGTGAAGAGCCAGCACGCAAGAATGCCCGGACGTTGACGATGTTATTTCAAATATAGACTGGCAAATACTGTAGGATCGAATGCGGAGAAGACGATACGCAGATTGTAAAGAAAGAAGAGAGGAGGAAGAACAGAATGGATGGATGGGTGTATCTCTAGTTGTGGTGACTCAAAGTGGCCTTCCTTTTGGGCGAGGGTAAAGTGCCTGAGGTTCTTCTTTTCGTTTCAACACCAATTGATTCTCACCACAACTCAATCAGTATAGACTGTTGAATATTGATTCCTGGTAAAATATTCGTAGAATATGGGGAAGCCAAGGAGGTAGTTGAAAGGAAAAAGCAAAGAGGAGTCTTATTCTTTGCTGCTGTGAAGCTCCACTGCCGAGTATACCGGGGAAAATGAAGGAATATAATTGTCTTTCGAAAGCAAAATGTTATCCTAAAGATCCTTATCCTCAATTTTAAACCTTTTTAGCATATCCCCCTTTGCAAGTCGATTCTCTGCAGTGACTGGTCAAAAGTGGCTCTACGTAGGTCTGTAGGTAGACTTTATCTCCAGCTTTTGTGGCTCCACCCACTGCTTATCAGAGCCATTATTATTATTATTATTATTATTCCCAGCCATGACCATGATGACCAGCAAATCTGCTTCTATCGCCACCCCGCGCTAGGCGCTGCTTCCGTCGTTACGGTGGGGTTATTCCAGTCTATAGGAATAATAAATAATAAAGAGGTAAAAATAATAAATTCTAAATGACAATAATTAAATAATAGTAAGGAAATATAAGATCAGACTAAAATGTGCGTTATGACCCCCTCCCAGCGCACGGTTCGGGGGAGCAGCTGATGGTGAATGGCTGGTGCTCATGTTCATCCGCTCCCCGCATTTTTCCTCTTTTCCTCTCTGTTCGATTTGCAGGGTTGTGTGAGGTGGCTAGTCAGGCACACCAGTTGCTTGCTATGAATCCATTCGCTGTTCTCATGCGTACATACACATCCATCAATCAATCCTGCATACGGCGTAATGTGGCAAGCCAATTAATGGGGCCAGGAGGAAGATGGGCTAACTGCTTGTCCCATCCATCATTTCCCAAACATCGTCTGGGAGTTACTGTGATGGACGACGACAGACTCTCAAGTACTCGGTCCATTAGGGGCCTCTATCCGTTGGGAAAAGCTCCGACAGCTCTGGGAAGATAGTTTTCTTTAGCGAGACCAAMACCAAAAAGAGTCACCGTGACACAGTCATTCGAACAAGGTGGAGTCAGTGCTCTAACAGTCAAACTCATTACTCCTATCTGCTATCTTCTCCGTAACTACTAGAGGCCTCTCACACGAAAAGGGGATCCATCAGCAACATCAACCAACTCGATCAGGAAATGATGCCATTATGATGGCGCCAGTCTAATGCTTTAGACTGCATAAAAAGAATGTACGCCGGCAACCAGGATCATACTGACGGCCTAGTGCCTACAGACCTCCTCACTCAAGCTCATCCTGCCACGGCAAGTGACACAATCCCCTAAAACTCAATGCGATGCAGCTGGAATGTCATATTCCCCAATCTCCACACCCTTTGCGCTTGAAGCGCTTCAATCAGAATCTCGCTCTGTTGTTCAATCCGATCGTTGTTTCATAACAATTTGAGCTAGCTAAACTGCAAGGTTCGCACGGGCTTGCCCGAGTCGGATGATCATTCCTCCCTAGCCCTACGAACTGGTATCTTCCTGTCACTCGCATCAATGAGACTTGGTCTGGTCAGCGACTGTCCAATCATCCGACCCCCATGGGCGATCATCCGGTCCATCCCTGTTGCTGCCG